GTACCCAACAATTGGATTAATTTAGCCTGCTCTTAATTAACTCCTCAATGTCATATGACACGCGCCCCATATGACACGCGCTTGAGACTTTAAAGGATGCGCTGCGTCTTCTTGTTTGTTTAACGATTAGCACTATGTGATGGACAATCTTTTTTTTTTAATTACCGTCAATTTACTCTCTCGGAAGATTATTCAATTATTTTCTTTTTTATTTCATGGATATATAATAATATAATGCGTCGCATATAGTCCCTATAATAATAAAATACTTAAGAAAATATCAAATAAATATGTTTAAAATAATACATTTTTGTTTGTGCCGAGGTGTCTTTTACGTGAGCCGAGGTGTCTCAAATCTTGGGCCGACCCGTCGGGGCCGAGGTGTCAATGGACCGAGACGTCGTTGGGCCGAGGTGTCGTTGGGCCGAGGTGTCTGACATTCCTTAAGGGGTATCGAATGTAGGGGGAGTATATACTCACGTATACCGTGACCAAGGAGACAGTATACGTCAAGCTAGCAAGTGTCAATTAAAAAAAAAACCACCGCAATTGCTCTTAGCACCCGCAATATCTTCGAAGCAGGTGGATGATTACCGACACGTGATGACCTTGGCTTCACTTTGAAACTATAATTATTAAAGTGTTCTAATTAAATAATTATGACAATTACAAAGTTCAAATACAGGTACCTACAGTGTATGTAATGAAAAAATATATGTCCGTTTTCGTATTAAGGTATCTTTGCAAGTTCAATTTACTAATGTTGGAATTACGTGTACTTTTCATGCACAAGGACAAAACGTACCCGTCTAGTATTATATCCATATAAAGTATTTCGAATATTACATGTAGTACATGTAAGAGGTTCGTGAACATGTAAACCTATATATATATATATATATATATATATATATATATATATATATATATATATATATATATATATATATATATATATATATATATATATATATATATATATATATATATATATATATATTTGCATATATTTCAGCTTGTCTGTAAATATATGCCGTTATCAAAGCTTTTCTCCTCATAATTTTGCTTTAAGCTAATATTGATTGGGATTTATGTATTGTGTAAATCTAAAATTTGGTTTGTTTTGTTGATAATTTTGTGTATCAGCCTGTTGCGTAATCCGGAAATTTGGACCGGGAATTTATAAGCATCTCGTGTATCACTCTGAAATTACAGCATCCGTACTTCCTTTTTCAATCAAGGCCTGTAACCAGCAGATGGTTTAGAAATTGAGAGTTAAAATTTTTTTTAAAAATAACTGTTAAGTAACCAAAAAAACATCTGTTAAATTAAAAAAAATTAGTCAAATCAATCGCATTAGGATACTTTGTATACCTGGAACGCTTTCGATGGCTTCATAATTTTAGGATATTCGGAGATTCTTGTATGACAATGTGCAGCATGCTCTAATGTGTCGGCATTGATATTATTCAGTTGTGGATTCATAACTTTCTTGAAATAACAAACTTAACTTTAATAATTTGTGTAAGCATGCCGCCCATAAGGACAAGACGGAGAAGAGAGAGGAGTAAGAAACAGGTCGGAGGGGAGGCCCAGCCCCAGGTTCAGGATCCGGGGGAATCGGCGACAGGATCATTGCCATTGGCGACACAACAGGCGCCGACGTGCTACGGAATGGGGACCCAAAATTCCAACCAATCAACAGGTACAAATAATTTTCTGTCGCAAGACGGGGGTTCTATCCCCACACCGCTAAATTCAATTCAATTTTCATTGGGCCATAATGTAAACGAGACTATCAGACAAAAAATTATTGAAGGAAAATATGTAGATTTGTCACTATTACTAAGAGATTCAAATATTGAAGACTCAGCTAGTGAGCGAATTTTTATATTGGGTAATGATGGGCAAATGCAAAGCAAACCCAAGAATACTCAAAAAATCACAACTATTGAGAAATGGACAGATGCCTTTCTCATTTATTTGAGCATATATACATCTGTCCATACAGGTAAATATCAGGATTTACTAAAATACATGCACGATGTACGTGCTGGGGCGGGTAGGTCCTCAGGGTGGAAACTTTACGACGAGCAGTTTCGTCTAAAATTGGCTATGGATCCCAGCAAATCTTGGTCAGCTGTAGATACAGAATTGTGGGTCATGTATATGACAGGGGGTCAAAATGTATCGCTTACGGGAACTCAAGGGGTAAACAAATGTTATGCATTTAACTTTCAGGGGTTTTGTGTGAGGAAAGCATGCTCATACACGCACATTTGTATAAAGTGTGGTCAAGATCATTCCATGGTAAGCTGCCCCTTCTCTGTAAATGTAGTTAACAGGCAAGCTTCTTATTTCAGCCCAAGACAGGCTTTCCGGCCAGGGGTCCATCAATCCAGTCGACTTTATGGAGCTTCCACCCCCCAGCTTACCCCTAGACATCCTCGATTCTCGGGACCCAAACATATGGGAACTAGGTTCAATCCCAATTAGGGCGTCTGCATTGGCACCTTTTTTGCACCAATATCCAATAAGGAATGTAGCAAATGAAATATTACAAGGATTCACTTACGGGTTTAAGTTAAATTATACAGGTCCAAGAATTTTTATTTTATCTGAGAATTTGCTTTCGGCTCGGCAATTTCCAAATCAGTTGCAAGAAAAAATTGTAAAAGAAGTACAGGAGGGAAGGATAATGGGCCCGTTTTCACACCCACCTATACCTAATATGCATATTTCTCCAATAGGTCTAGTGCCAAAGTCAAGCGGTGGTTGGAGGATGATTACACATCTATCATACCTTCCATCCCTTGGCATTAACTCATTTATTGACCCAGACCAGTGCAGCGTTAAATATACAGCTTTTGATACAGTAGTCGATATGATAAATCAGTTAGGACCTGGTGCAGAGTTAGGAAAGGTCGATATTAAAAGTGCATTTAGGTTACTTCCAATATACCCTGGGGATTTTGAACTGTTAGGATTTAGATTTAAGGATCAATACTATTTCGACAAGTGCTTACCCATGGGATGTTCCATTTCTTGTTCAATTTTTGAAAAGTTTTCAACATTTTTGCAGTGGGTTATAACAAATAAATCTGGTTTGAGTACAATAGAGCACTATTTAGATGATTTTATCTTTGCGGGTAGGAGGGGATCAGGTGAATGTTTGCAACTAATGACACTATTCCAGGATGTGTGCAAAGAATTTGGGGTTCCTTTAGCAGTAGATAAAACACAAGGACCTGTTACTTGTTTAGTATTTTTAGGGCTGGAAATAGACACAGTGCTTAAAATTGTAAAGATCCCAAAAGACAAAATACAGGAACTCAAAGGTCTGCTTTGTATTCTTATGGAAAGGTCAAAGGTTAAGTTGAAAGAAATGGAATCACTAGTCGGAAACCTCAATTTCTTTTCCAAGGCTATCAGGGGTAGTAGGGCATTCAACAGAAGATTTTATGATTCTATGATTGGCATTTCTCGCCCCAATAGTCACATTAGAATCACTAGGGCACTGAAAGATGATATGTTAATGTGGGTTCATTTTTTAGACAATTTCAATGGTGTAGCTTTCTTTCCATGTTCGGAATGGGTGAATTCAAGAGCAATCCAGCTCTACACAGAGAGCGCAGGAGCTATTGGTTTTGGTTGTGGGTGCTATTTTAAAGGAAGGTGGGTTTATTATGAATGGCCTTTAGAATGGGAAAATCATGATATCATCAGGGACATAACATTTCTGGAGTTAGCCCCAATAGTGTTGTCAGTTATGATCTGGGGGGAGGAACATAGCCGTCAAAAGGTTCAATTCCATACAGATAACATTGCCTTGGTAAGCATTCTGAACACTCAGTCCTCAAGGTCTCCACGAATTATGTTTTTAATTAGGAAGCTAGTTTTGATGCTTATGCAATATAATATTATATTTAAAGCCAAACATATTTCTGGCATTGATAATGGTATAGCAGATGCTCTCTCTCGTAAACAGTGGGGAAGATTCCGACAACTCGCTCCAACAGCAAACCAGATCCCAGATCCTATTCCATCCGCAATTCACAGTCTGATGTCAAAGGGGAAGTTTCTCGACTATTGATTGCATCCAATTCTTACAACACTGCAGTAACCTACAAAACAGGGCTCATAGCATTCCACAAGTTTAGAAATATGTCAGATGAAAACATTATCTGGCCTCCTCCTGTAGAGCAGATAGTTAACTTTATTGCTTACCTATCACTCAATGGCTATGCAGAGTCTACAGCTAGGGCCTATGTAGGCGCTATTGGCTATGAGTGCAAGATAAAAGGATTTGAAGACTCAACTAACAGGTTCATTGTTTCCAAAGTGTTGGAGGGTTTCAGGCGTCTCAATTCTAGGGTTGATACTAGGTTGCCAATTACAGAAAAAAATTTGGCTAAATTAATAGGGGCATTGAGCAGTGTGTGTTCAAGTTTTTATGAAGCTAAATTATTCACAGCAGCATATGCATTAGCATTTTTCGCCTTTCTGAGAGTGGGAGAATTAGCGATATCTAAGGGCAACAACTCTCAAACCATTTTGGGAATTGGTGATGTGTACATACAAAATAATCAACTGACATTGTGTATAAGGTGTTCTAAAACTGATCAATTGGGAAAGGGGGTAAAAGTTGTGATAAATAATCATAGTTCAATTATTTGCCCAGTGCAGGCAATGGCTAAGTTTTTGGAAGTAAGGCCAAACTTTCCGGGACCCTTATTTTGTCATTTTGGAGGAAAGCCACTTACAAGATATCAATTTTCAGCAGTTTTAGATAAAGTCATTGTAGCTATTGGACTAGAAAGCAAGCATTACAAGTCTCATTCTTTCAGGATAGGGGCTGCAACAACGGCAGCAGACAAGGGTTTTTCAGACGAAGAAATTAAAATAGCTGGAAGATGGAAATCAACTGCCTTCCAGACTTATATAAGATCTCCACTTAGCCGAACATCTCCTTTAACATAATAAGTAGCTCATTTAATCTAACTGGCATGTATTTGTTAATTAATATTACAGGGTTCCCAAAGCCAGGCAGAATTACAGTTTGGATTGTTGGCTCATCAATTATAAAAAGGGCATCCATGGCAGCAAGATTAAGACCGGGGGGATGGAGTCTTGGGTTAACCCAAAGAGGGGTAGATATGTGGTGGCAAGGGTATGGTGGGTTAAAATTTATTGACCTAGTTCAGAAGGTTAGGTACTTAGCAACATTAGAGGATCCTCCAAGATATCTAATCATTCACTGTGGGGCCAATGATCTGGGTCAAATTAAACTGTCAAGATTACTCTATAGAATTAAGTGGGACATCCAGTTACTTTCAAGAATCTTCACCAACACGACTCTCGTTTGGTCTTTTCTCCTCCCCCGCATTTCATGGAGACACTCAAGTAACATTAGAGCAATGGAGCAGGCAAGGGATAGGCTAAACAGGTGGGCAGCAAAACAGGTATTTCAAAATGGGGGGAAAATTATCACGCATTCTCAATTTATAGGTAAACCTGTACAGTTGTATCACTCAGATGGAACACACTTGTCGGAGTTGGGGAATGACATTTTCCTCAACAACATTCAGGGGGCCCTGGAGTATTTTGCCAGTGGGGGTAAAAGTAAAGAATTTCCATGTAAATAATTAACTAAGTAATTTAGTCCATAAAGTAGGTATGCCTTTTTGGCAGAGGCACAGTGGTCATCTTGAAGGTTCCTACCCCCACCATGTGGCGGTGGGCAACCTGATTGTATGTCTGCAAATGCACACATTCATCAGGTGCCCATGTGGCCATATCGTCACCTTCAAGTTGGTTGTGGAAATATGATGTTGACTGTTGTTACGTTGATGTTGATTTAATAATTTTTTCATATAGACAGTTTAAAGTAAAGAGTTGTATACTAAATGATATGTTGATGTGTCGTTAGCATGATTGTGATCAACCCATCATGCTACTTGCCGTTTCGGACGACACATAAAATGTTGTTGTAGGGGGTGAGCCCTGTTGTCTGGCGACCCCAAACTTGATGTTGTAAATACGTTTATTTGACCACTGTGGCCAATATCTGCCATACAATAAACAATTAACTATAAATGTGTTTTTAATTCTAAAAATCCATAGGTAATGTTACAAATACAAGCATAGGACTTGTGTACTGTATTATGGGTGTCTGGGTAGGATAAGTCATTACTGTCTTTGATATATATATATATATATATATATATATATATATATATATATATATATATATATATATATATATATATATATATATATATATATATATATATATATATATATCGACGCGAAGGAAAGTGATAAGCATTTTTGTTTTTTGTTTTTTTTTTTGACTGACTGACTTGCAAGTAGTTACAACAATTCTAAAACATACAATGTAAGGTCTACATGTAGGATAATTAGAATTGACAAAATAATCTTTCCCTATATACATGTATTTAAATCAAGCTATTTATTAAACTTTGGTAAGAGATTAATTAAAAAAATATATACTGTATTTTGACATAATAAAACTCTATAATTTATCGAAGACCAGTTTTTTTAATTCTTTTTTATTTTTTAGTAACAATTGTTATAACCATTATTATCTTCTTTTTTTTCTATTATGAATTAAAGTACTTATTGTCTGATAAATTTACGCAATGTATATTTGTATATTAATGGATTTTAAAAATATAAAAAAAAAATAAATATGTAACTATACATGTAACATGCTACCTGGATAAAAAAAAATTAATAATGTATTAATAGATATAAAAATTAAAAATTAATGAAAATAGATGTGTAAATATTGCATGTTGTCTGGAGAATTAAAATATATAGATATAAAATCATGTTTAAAAATCATATCAATAATATTTTTACACTGTACATTCACACGCTTTGCTTGTACAATGTTTAGATTACAAACTGGCATGTTGACTGATCGATGCGCTGATGGTCAACGCATTTTATTATCACTAATCCTGATTGACAGACCTGTTCGGCATGTTGATTGATGGACGCGCTGATGAGTTAATCGCTAATCCTGATTGACAGCTCTGTTACGCAACACCGATCGCTTTCTGGGACCGCTATTGAATTTGGAGTTCGCTTTCAGCGTTCACCCTGGGTCCGCTCTGGCTACGGGTGCGCTTCGGGTTCGCTCGGGGTCAGCACTAGCGGACCCCAAGCGAACCCAGAGAGCGAACCCGGGGTGCGCTCTGGGTTCGCTTTCTGTTAGGTTGTGTCTGGTTGGTACTGTACCAAATATATTCTGCATGTATCAATGGCAGATACGATTGCGGCGTATATGTAACAGGGATATTATATGGTACAAAGTACAGGTAGGTGGAAGAAAGCTCTGAGATCAGGGACATATCTTCATGTAAAAATTATCTAGTGACTTTCCATAAAAGGTAGGGTATTACCGAGCTTTGACCTGGACTATTAGCTGGTACAAGCTACAGGTAGGTTGGGGAAACCCTTTGAAATCAGGGTAATATTGTCAATACCAAATATATTCTGCATATATCAATGGAATGCAGGATTGTGGCGTATTTGCCAGGGCTAAACAAACAAACAAATGTCTAACATTAATCTGATACCTGTCAAAAATAGGTAGAAAAATTAGGTGCATTGTTTAGAAATATATATATTTGTACTTTCGATGGAAAAATAACTCGAAATCACCTAGTGTGAAATGTATATGAGCTAGAAAAGTTGGGAGTAGCAAATGACGAGGAATATAAGTTGATAGATTAACCAATGTCTTGCTGTATTGCGTTTGGATATGCCTCGGTAAACCGTGAGTTTTATGAGAAAATAAAATCTTGGCACTAAGTAAAACATTCAGGTAAAATAAAATTAAAAAAACTTTTGAAATCAAAAGAAGATAGAAAATGTGTTTTCTTTACTAATATAGGCATATTCTGCATATATCAATGTAATGCAGGATTGTGGCGTATTTAATAGGGATATTATCTGGTTCAATGGACTGGTAGGTGGAAGAAAGCTCTGAGATTAGGGACATATCTTCATGTAAAATTTACATAGTGACTTTCCATAGAAGATAGGGTATTACCGAGTTTTGACCTGGACTATTTACTTGTACAAGCTACAGGTAGGTTAGGGAAACATTTCGAGATCAAGGTAATATTATCAATACCAAATATATTCTGCATGTATCAATGGCAGATAGGATTGTGGCGCATATTTAACAGGGCTATTATTTGGTACAAAGTACAGGTAAGTGGGAGAAAGCTCTGAGATCAGGGACATATCTTCAGGTTAAATTTATTTTTGACTCTCCATAGAAGGAGGGTATTGTCTTGGACTATTAGTTTGATGAAACTAGAGGTAGGTGACAAAGAATGTCTGGGATCAAGGTTATTTTCTTAAATAAAATAAATATTGTTTCCATCCAGAGTACGTAGAGAAATGGTGGATATTGTACAGTTTTTAAGCTGGTACAAGCTTCAATTATCTGCGATCAGGGCTATATTTTCATGTTAATCTTGTAAAAAGCAAAAGTATTTTGATAAGAAGTGTATACTGATCTGGGATTTCAGATCGTAATTTTTCCAGGATATGTTAAAATGAATTCAGCATGCACATTCTACATAGATGCATGGGAGAAACATTTTGAAAGAGCGTAATATCTTTATGTTTGATTAACCATTTGACTGTCATAGGTCTGTAAGAATATTAGCCTTTTTTGCAGGAATATTAGCTGAAACATGTACAAACTAACGTAGAAGGCACGTAGGAACGGGGGGGGGCTGCAGGGGGGCTGCCAGGACTAAACAAACAAAGGTCTAACATTAATCTGATACCTGTCAAAAATAGGTAGAAAAATTAGGTGCATTGTTTAGAAATATATATATTTGTACTTTCGATGGAAAAATAACTCGAAATCACCTAAGGTGAAATGTATATGAGCTAGAAAAGTTGGGAGTAGCAAATGACGAGGAATGTAAGTTGATAGATTAACCAATGTCTTGCTGTATTGCGTTTGGATATGCCTCGGTAAACCGTGAGGTTTATGAGAAAATAAAATCTTGGCACTGAGTAAGACACTCAGGTAAAATAAAATTAAAAAAAAAAACCTTTTGAAATCAAAAGGAGATGGAAAATGTGTTTTCTTTACTAATATAGGCAGATTTCTCATACGTAGTTTAGGTATGAGTATATTATTAAAATATTATAAAAAAAATATATATAGTAATTTCTATCTTACAACTTGAGTCGATTTTAAAAAAATAATCCATCTTTCACTTATGGAATCGTCGCCTGCATGGGGCAGTGGTAAGAGCGTCTGCTCTAGAATCGCGGAGTTAGGAGTCGATCCTTACGTCGCAGGTTCGAATTCCACTGCGGGACGTGGCCATGGAGACCGGTCCTTCGGAGGAGACCATATAAATCGAGGTCCCGTATCCCAGTAGGTGCTGGCACGAAAAAGATCCCTCACTGCTCAATGGACCTTTAAGTGCCGAGCATAGGTTATCAGGGTTGGATTGGCTGTAAAAATGGGGCGGGATCTTAAGGCAGCCTCTAGACATATGTTTTTTTAAATGTTCATTTGTAACGATACGTGCCTGTTTCCAGGGGATAATAACAACCCCCCCCCCTCGCGGATTTTCTATTCCTAATACACATAAACATTGCATCAATCGAAATACAAATGAATATTGGAAAAAATATATATCTAATAATATAGTTCAACGAATTTTATTTTGAATTTAAGTGAATCCACGCTTGTCTTCAATTTATCCATATTTGATGATTAATTTAAATGGATACATTGTTTATATGGACTAGTATTTCTACTTTTACGTGTACGACTTAAGAGGCAGTCCACCAAAAAACCAGGCAATGGGTGGCACATCACATGTCATGGATTTTAATTATTTTTTGCATTTAGACTTATAAAAGCAATTGTTTACACATGGCAACATCAAGATTTTTTTAGTGTTCCTCTAGTCCTATTTTTTGTAAGTGCTTAATTTTAAGTGCAAAAAGGTCAACAAGTTGGTTAAAATTTTGCTACGTTTTTGTTTTGTTTTATTTGAAACAGATACTCAAAAACTGAATATGTCAATAAATATTATTTATAGTATAAACCCTTATCTTTTATAATATCAATGAATAAGACACCAATTTATATTTCTTTAGAAAAAATTATGTGGTCTAAACTTCAGTTAAGCAAGTGACTTAATGAAGTAACTATCCAATTTTCATTACGTTCTAAAATCCAATACATTGAAATGTCAGAACTTTCTCCTCATGTTATTATGAATTCAAAGTACAAATTGTTGAATCAATTTAAAAAATTGGTGGGAACAGGTATATTGAGTGAAATAAGAGGCGTCAAATTATCTACTTTTTATAAATTTATCCAAATTAAACCGATCCCGACCGGAATTATATAAAGAAGAAAGCTACTATGATTTAATCATGAAATTTGGTTGTTTTGTTTCAATATGGTTTACAAATTACTTGATTTATTTTTAAACATGTTTTCTAGGTGGCAATTACCATTAATTTTATTACTTAATAATTATGCATTAATTTCGATCGGGATCGGTTTTATTTCAATCGGGATTGGTTTCTATATTAAAAATTAGAAATGTTTTCTAAAATCGCTCTTCGTTGTATTTTATCATAAGAATATGTCTGTGTTTTATTTCTTTTCTGTATGTTACATGGTTTTAGACGATGTTATCCATAGATTAAATATATCTTAATTACTAAATGTTTTTCAGGTCCATGAAGATCTTTTGAATTACTTGTAAAACATCTGTTTGATTTCTTGATACACACCTAAAAAAAAAATATTTATATCATGTAACAATTAATAGCAAATTTTAAGCTTAATAATAAGATATCTCATTTCCAAGAAAAATAATCTTTTAAATTATCTGGAGTAAAAAGAAAATTTAAAACAAAAAAAAGTCTTGCAGTGGCGAAATTATACATGCACGTACTTTAATCCAGCAAGCGTTTTTTTTTTATGTGTACAGCCTCGGCTTTAATCCAATTTTTTTCATCCATTCATCATATTAAGGAATATTTTCCTGCTCTAAGAAATTTAACTTGAAATAAATAAGAAAAAAAACCTATACACTTACATACATATAATCATGATAATA